CCCCCTCCCCCCACTCCCTCCCTCTCTCTCTCTCCCTCCCTCTCTCTCCCCCCTCCCCCTTCCTCCCTCTCTCCCTCTCCCTCTCTGTGTCACACACACTACTTTCTTCTCTGTCTTTAGGACTTCTTGAGTGTGAAAGTTTTAAAAACCCTGAAGAAACCCTGTTACTACTTTCACCTTTACTCTTTCCCTTTCTTACACATGAGGAGGTGAAGATAACAGTTTCTAGCTTTTTATATAAACATTTTAAAGAAAAGTATCCCATGGAAACCAGTGTTTTCAAAAATTCAAGGGCACCCTTAAAGTGCCCCAAAATTATTTTACATATTTTTTCATTCTATCCTTTTTTTCTTAAGTACCAACACTCAAAATGAATTATTTCTTATATTATTGTTTTCTGCTTTTCCTTAACTTTTTCAAAAAGAACTATTTCCAGAAGGACAGTTATTTTGTACTTTGTGAGAAAATGTTTCAGGTATTTATATTGTTTTATGTGTCATAGGAAGGAAAATCCCCTCGGCAGTGTCTGAAGGAAGGAAACTGCAAAGCTTTGAAATACTCATTTTTTGAGTGTAAAAGATCAGTGGTAAGTAGCTAACGATTTTTAAAAGCTTATGATAGAAATTAGCTCTGTGGAGTTAAGTATGTGAGTGACTTAGTAATTATAAATAGGTTGCAGTGATATCACTTGGAAAAAAGGATGTATTTTTTCTTCCCCAGTGAATTAACGTGAGGTGGCATTCATGCACACCCACAGCTGATTGTTCCGTTATTGCTGTTATGCTAACCACAGCAGCTAAACTTCATGGAGTTTTGAAAGAGAGAGAGTTCAGTCTTGGCAGGTGTAGATGGGGCACAGTTGATGCTGGTCACTGTGTATGTGGGTCATTTGGCAGCTACACACAGACCCATAATGTGGGGTCTGTGGTGCGTGCACTGTGCCTTACATGTTGGTGTGATTAGGAGAAGGTGTTGGTGTCTGTGTTTGAATTTGTAGAGTGAGGGATTGTGGAAAGACAGCCTAAGAGGACATTACAAATCTCATGGTTTCTACTCTAGTGTTCTTTGATTCCAAAGATCTACAAAGATCTTTGGAATAGAAACCAGGAGCCTTCTCTTTGTGAAAAGAAAATACGAAATCAGAAAAATGGACATCCCTCTAAAGACAGCAGCAACTTGGACTTGAACCTGCTTTTGTTTGTTGAGGGACAGCACTCAGATCCCTTCCCTTTTGTTGATAGGAGAAGCAGAGAGTACAGGATATTATGATCTGGGAGGCCAGACAAGAACTTGAGCATGTTTGCTAACTAACCAGAGGTGTAAAGTTAGATTAAATTTAGCCATGCTCTCTTTCTTTTCTCAAGTGACACAGTTCTTTGCCATATCTTCCCCTCATTTAATGTAAGAAAAGAGGATTTTCTTGCCTTCTCTCACATAGTTTTGTTACCCATGTAAGATGCAAGCCTTTAGATCTTTCAAGAATGTCAGATCATGTTTAAATAATTGAGAAGTTATAAAGAACAGTTACTGTAAGAGGTGATGAGTTGTCCTTTTTAATCGTAATGATTGAATTTGTAATAAACTCCCTGTAATTCGTGGTCTGAACATCAGTCTTTGATCTCCAAAGAACTTTAAGAAATCAGAACATGTAAAAATTTCCCACAATTTATCTACCTTCTGCAGAAATTTGTAACCATCTTGAATAAAAAGTAAACGTGCTTCTGACCATTTCAAATATCAGTACAAGGCAGAGCTTCACTCATACTTTTGGACTCCAGAAAGAGCAGTATAGGGAACTTTTTAGCAGACTTAGAGATTCTTGCAGCCTTTAAGACTGTGACTCACTGTTAGTCCTCCAGCATAGTGGAGTTGCCTCACACTTAACTGATGTAACTTATGCACTCTTGGCAAAAACCTGAAACAAAATAATTTAAATTGTGCTGGTAATTTTGCTTGATATTTCAAACAGTGAGTGTATGACCCAGAGTGAAGGTGAGATGGTGAGTTTGAATGGGCTGTTCCCTCTTAATATAAGCTTCTCATCATCCTGATCATGATTCCCATGTTTGAAGATTATTTATTTTTTGAAAATGTGGCTCTTAGCTACTTTATCTAGTGCTCAGATGAAGAAATAGCAGTCTGTCTCACACTGGCTGTGTTGTCCTCATTAATAGGGTTTAACTCTAAAATAATTCCTTCCTATGGAATTTCTAGGGAGTGGTATTGACTGTCTATGCAATTTTGCCTTCTCTACTGACTAGGACCCTTCACACTACCACACCACCCTTAAGAAGTGGCTGCACTGTGAGGCTTAAGTGAAAGAACATAGAATTGACCTATGAGTAGTAATTTAAGGACTTTTAATACTAAAGTGTCAGTAACATTGTTCAAGGCTCTTTCCTCTTTTCAGTTACTATTTAAAGATTTAAAAAACACTTGAATATTAACCCAAACAAAACCTAATTAGAAAGTCAAGTTTGTTTGAAGAACAACATACATTGAGTGTACTTCAGAGAAAAAGATAAATGAAATTTGGACTCAAGAAGAAAATCCTTATTGTGACCTTAAATGGAACTTTCGTTTTTAACGCCATCTTTTTTTCCCCCCGCTTGGGAGCTGTGACCATTGCCTTTTTGAGTGTGCTGGAAACTGGTTTACTTCTCTCATATAGTGACACCTGTTACCAAATCTGTGTTTAATTATGGTGTCCAGAATATTATTTAATTGTATATTTATTTTCAGTTGGATGCCAGATCAAGATTCAGGGGAAGAAAAGGATATTGATACTACTATGTTGAAACCAAGATGAAAACAACAAAGGATTTTCTCTGTCATTAAAACAGAGAAGCCAAAATAAGAAACATACTTTTTGTTACATCTGTTTGGTTGGAGCAGTTTCTTCCTCCATGGAACACTGAAGAAAATGGATGAGTATGTATGAAGTAAATGCTTCTCTTGCTCTAAGTTATTTTTAGAAGAAAAATTTAATTGAATAGTTATGAGCTAAGAACATACTAGATGTGTTTTAAGAATTGTTCTGAAGCACAGAGAATGGAAAGATTGTTATTTTCAAACTTGACTTCTCAACCAAATGACACAGTTTGTACATCCTTCGTGAATATTGTGAAGGCCACTAACAGGACTGTTAAAATCAACATGGTGCCTGGTGAGAAAATGTCTATCTTGAAAGTTTAGGATAAAACTTTCTTTTATTCAGTCTGTACTATTTAGTTCTAAAATAAATTGTGTTTGATTCCTTGGAGAAGAAATGCTTCCCTTGCACTGAATCACTGAAGTAACAACCTCAAAACATTAATATCACTCATTAGGCATAGCTGGATCCAAAGCCTGGGATTATGCTGCCAGGGCTCCTTGCCTCCATCCCTTGACTGTTTTTCTCTGTCTCCTGACCTCGTTTTTAGGCTGGCCCTCTCTACATAATGGGAAAGAGGCCATCAAAAGCACACATCCTTAAGGTCTGTGACCCAAAAAGAAGAGAGATAACCTCCTTTTCTAGGGTCCACTAATCAGACCCTACAAAAGGACTCTTCTGTGGAACACCTGCCCCTGAATTAGACCTGTAGTCCCTGTGGAAAAAGGGATGGGACCCCATGATCTTGGCCAGGCCTGGGTCTTATGCACTGTATTTGGTAACTCATGTCAGAATCTCATTGAATGAATGCTGGGCTTTATCCTAAAAGGAAAGGAGGATTCAGAGCCAGTAGGTATTGACTATAGAAGGCAAGACTGAAAACCATGAAATGCTTGTAAAAGTTGAGAATCATGTAATTTTATTCCAATCACATAATACAGTAGAGCCAGATGTGAATCCAAGTTTCCAGTTTTTTTTTTTTTCAGTATTGAAGAATAATGGAAGGAGCCATAGCTTCTTCATAGACCTGCAGGTCACTGGAGTTAAAGCAATCAAGGTATTCTGTAGCTCATTTGCTTTCTTAAAGGTTCACCTAAAGTTGTGAGAATTCCACATCAGCACTGATCCTTGTTGCAGAAATTCACTGAGGTCTGTTGTATATACTATTCACTGGGAAAGGGAAAAGGATAGATTTTTTCAATACCTCTTGTATACCTGCTTAAGTGCTACAACTTTTATTAAAAGTTAAGTTTGATAAGAAACTCAAATTATTTTATAGAACCCTATCTTTTTCTTAGTCACAGCTTTATTGAGAGCTTCATTGGAAGAAATTCAAATACCGTAAAATTCACCCTTAAAGTATACAATTTCAGTGTTTTTTTTTTTTAATAGTCACAGTCATGAAGCCCAGTCATGAAGCCATCACCACTGTCTAATTCCACGGCATTTACATCACCCCAAAGAGAAGCCCCATCTCCACTAGCAGTTACTCCCTCCTCCCCCCCCACCCCCCCCCACCCCCAGCTCTTGGCAACAACTCATACATTTTCTGTGTCTGTAGATTTGCTTATTGTGGACATTTCATAAACATAGAAATATGTAATATGTAGCCTTTTGTGACTGGCTTCTTTCACCATGTTTTCAAGTTTCATCTATATGTAGCATCTATCTGTACTTCATTGCTTTTTATTGCTGAATAATATACCATAGTATAGATATACCACATTTTTTAAATCCATTCATCAGTTGAGGAAATTTTGGGTTATTTGCACTTTGGGGCTATTATGACTAATGATATGAACATTTATTAATGAGTTTTATCCGGACATGTTTCATTTCTTTGGGTTATATACCTAAGAGCGGTATTACTGTGTCGTATAATAACTCCATCTTTAACTGATAAACTGCCAAACTTTTCCACAGTGGCTACATCATTTTACATTCCCACCAGTAATGTATGAGGATTTTAATTTCTCCATATCACCAATAGTTGTTATTTTTCACCTTTTGGGTTTTTTTTATTATAACTTCTTAATTTTATTTTTTAAAATTTTTATTGGAGTATAGTTGATTTACAATGTTGTGTTAGTTTCAGGTGTACAGCAAAGTGAATCAGTTATACATAAACATATACTCACTCTTTTTTAGATTCTTTTCCCATCTATGCCATTACAGAGTATTGAGTAGAGTTTCCTGTGCTATACAGTAGGTCCTTCTTAGTTATCTATTTTATATATAGTAGTGGGTATATGCCTATCCCTATCTCCCAATTTATCCCTGCTCCCTCCCTTACCCCCTAGTAACCATAAGCTTGTTTTCTACATCTGTAACTTTATTTCTGTTTTGTAGGTAACTTCTACATCTGTAACTTTATTTCTGTTTTGTAGGTAAGTTCATTTGTACCCTTTTCTTAGATTCCACATATAAGGCATATCATACAATATTTGTCTTTCTCTGTCTGACCTACTTCACTCAGTATGACGGTCTCTAGGATCATCCATCTTGCTGCAGATGGCATTATTTCGTTCTTTTTTATGGCTGAGTAATATTCCATTGTATATATGTACCACACCTTCTTTATCCATTCCTCTGTTGATGGACACTTAGGTTGCTTCCATGTCCTGGCTATTGTAAATAGTGCTGTAACGAATATTGGGGTGCTTGTATCTTTTTGTTTGTTTATTTATTTATGGCTGTGTTGCTTCTTCGTTGCTGTGCACGGGCTTTCTCTAGTTGTGGTGAGCGGGGGCTACTTTTCGTTGTGGTGTGCGGGCTTCTCACTGCAGTGGCTTCTCTTGTTGCAGAGCAGGGCTCTAGGCATGTGGGTTTCAGTAGTTGTGGCTCTAGAGTGCAGACTCAGTAGCTGTGGTGCACGGGCTTAGTTGTTCCATATCATGTGGGATCTTCCCAGACCGTGGCTCAAACCCGTGTCTGCTGCATTGGCAGGCGGATTCTTAACCATTGGGAGGTCCCCATGTATCTTTTTGAATTATGGTTTTCTCCAGATATATGCCCAGGAGTGGGATTGCTGGATCATATAGTAGCTCTATTTTTAATTTATTAAGGAACCTCCATACTGTTCTCCATAGTGGCTGTACCAATTTACCTTCCAACCAACAGTGGTACCTTCTCCATAGCCTCTCCGGCATTTCTCGTTTGTAGATTTTTTGATGATGGCCATTCTGACTGGTGTCAGGTGATACCTCATTGTAGTTTTGATTTGCATTTCTCTAATAATTAGCGATGTTGAGCATCTTTTCATGTGCTTTTTAGCCATCTGTATGTCTTCTTTGGAGAAATGTCTATTTAGATCTTCTGCCTATTTTTTGATTGAGTTGTTTGTTTTTTTGTTATTGAGCTGCATGAGCTGTTTGTATATTTTGGAGATTAATCCCTTGTCGGTTGCTTTGTTTGCTAATATTTTCTCCCATTTTGAAGACTGTCTTTTTGTTTTGTTGATGGTTTCCTTCGCTGTGCAAAAGCTTTTAAGTTTCATTAGGTTCCATTTGTTTGTTTTTTATTTTCATTACTCGAGGAGGTGGATCAAGAAAGATCTTGCTGTGATTTATGTCAAAGAGTGTTCTGCCTATGTTTTCCTCTAAGAGTTTTATAAGGTCTTTAATCTATTTTGAGTTTGTTTTTGTGTATGGTGTTAGGGAGTGTTTTAATTTCATTCATTTACATGTAGCTGTCCAGTTTTCCCAGCACCACTTATTGAAGAGACTGTTTTTTCTCCATTGTGTATTCTTGCCTCCTTTGTCATAGATTAGGTAACCACAGGTGTGTGGGTTTATCTCTGGGCTTTCTGTCCTGTTCCATTGATCAGTATTTCTGTTTTTGTGCCAATACTGTACTGTTTTGATGACTGTAGTTTTATAGTATACTCTGAAGTCAGGGAGCCTGATTGCTCCAGCTCAGTTTTTCTTTCTCAAGATTGCTTTGGCTACTTGGGGTCTTTTGTGTTTCCATACAAATTGTAAAATTTCTTGTTCTAATTCGGTGAAAAATGCCATTGGTAGTTTGATAGGGATTGCATTGAATCTGTGGATTGCTTTGGGTAGTATAGTCATTTTCACAATATTGATGCTTCCAATCCAAGAACATGGTATATCTCTCCATCTGTTTGTGTCATCTTTGATTTCTTTCATCAGTATCTTATAGTTTTCTGAGTACAGGTCTTTTGCCTCCTTAAGTAGGTTTAGCTCTAGGTTATTTTATTCTTTTTGTTGAGGTGGTAAATGGGATTGTTTTCTTGATTTCTCTTTCTGATATTTTGTTGTTAATATATAGGAATGCAAGAGATTTCTGTGTATTAATTTTGTATCCTGCAACTTTACCAAATTCATTGATGAGCTTTAGTAGTTTTCTGGTAGCATCTTTAGGATTTTCTACATATAGTATCATATCGTCTGCAAATAGTGACAGTTCTACTTCTTCTTTTCCAATTTGGATTCCTTTTTCTTCTCTGAATGCTGTGGCTAGGACTTCCAAAACTATGTTGAATAAAAGTGGCAAGAGTGGACATCCTTGTCTTGTTCCTGATCTTAGAGGAAGTGCTTTCAGTTTTTCACCATTGAGAATGACGTTCGCTCTGGGTTTGTCATATGTGGCCTTTATTATGTTGAGGTAAGTTCCCTCTATGCCCACTTTCTGGAGAGTTTTTATTATAAGTGGGAGTTGAATTTTGTCAAAAGCTTTTTCTGCATCTATTGAGGTGATCATAGGGTTTTTATTCTTCAATTTGTTGATGTGGTTTATCACACTGATGTGCAGATATTGAAAAATCCTTGCATCCCTGGATGAATCCCACTTGATCATGTTGTGTCATCCTTCAAATGTGTTGTTGGATTTGGTTTGCTAGTACTTTGTTGAGGATTTTTGCATCTTTGTTCATCAGTGATATTGGCCTGTAATTTTCTTTTTTTGTGATAGCTTTGTCTGGTTTTGGTATCAGGGTGATGTTGGCCTCGTAGAATGAGCTTGGGAGTGTTTCTTCCTCTGCAATTTTTTGGAAGAGTTTCAGAAGGGTAGGTGTAAACTCTTCTCTAAATGTTTACGAGAATTCACCTGTGAAGCCATAGTCCTGGACTTTTGTTTCTTGGAAGATTTTTAATCACAGTTTCAATTTCAGTACTTGTGATTAGTCTGTTCATATTTTCTGTTTCTTCCAGGTTCAGTCTTGGAAGGTTGTACCTTTCTAAGAATTTGTCTATTTCTTCTAGATTGTCCATTCTATTGGTGTGTAGTTGCTTGTAGTAGTCTCTTACTATCCTTGGTATTTCTGTGGTGTCCACTGTAACTTTTTTCACTTCTAATTTTTATTGATTGGAGTCTTCTCCATTTTTTTCTTGATGAGTCTGCCTAAAGTTTTATCAATTTTGTTTATCTTCTCAAAGAACCA